GAAATAAGATTTGGGAGGGAGTACAGGAACATGCAAGAAAGATAAATTATACCAAGTCACTCAGATAAACATAAATAATTGGAGAAAACGGATGAAAACCTCCTGCCACACGTGTATGGTACGAGTGTCATATTTTGTCAGATTTTTTTCTGCTCTGTGAAGAAGTCGGCAAGTCTGCTGGAGAGTGGGTGTTCTGTGGAATGAATCAATGGTGTCTAGAAATTGCAATACAAAAATCTAGCAAAAAACTTTACTTTTCTGAAACATGTTAAAACTAAAAGAGGAGAAACTATGCCCAAGTGAGACTGTAGTGGGCGTCACACCCTTCATTCCAAAACCACAATTAACTTTCATTCATAGACTGCCAGGAGCAAAACTCTCTTCAACATTACATAGCAGTTGTTATAGTGGGACAACTATCAATGGTCTCTTCCCTCTAGTTTTGAAACAGCTTTGATATTATCACTGAAAAAAGGAAGTAGCATTGATTTCTCCCACCTCCCCGCACTCTCCAGTCACTCCCTAAGGGCAGCGATACTCACTGGTCCTCTCTGTGGTCTCTTTTGCTACAGAAAATAAAGTGACTAACAAAATAAACTTTGTCAGGAGATCCTGGACATGGAAGATCAAGAAATGTAATCAAGGAAGTATGAATTTCAACACAGTCCAGCTCTTGGGAGGAAGGAATCTGTATGGTTTTCAAGCCATCCAAGCCAAGCCTGGTCAGACTGAGTCAGTCAGCAAGCCGTGTAACACGAGTTACTCTGAGCAGCAGAGGGCTCAGACATCGCTAATTCACTTCGAGCACCAGCAAGACACTGTTCTACTGTGTAATTAGCACTGAAATTGCCCCTGGCACCACAGTCTACAGCATCCCATACCTAGGAGATTTTAAAATTAGTGGGTCGAGTTTTTTTTCTTTTTAGTTCCTACACAGGGATAACTTAGGACGATTATTTCAGTCAAGTGAGCCACCAGCTTGTGTGCAAATTAGGACTGACCGACACAATGCTTGGGGTTTGTGGGCATGCCCTGGAACTTCAACACGTTACGTGGCCAGACATGCTATACACCAGTAATCTATTCATCAGATAAATTTCTAGGGGAACATCAAGCCCTCGTTTCTCTTTCTCCCTTGTAGCATTTCCTGGAAAAGGCTGTTTCTCTTCATGAGAACACTACTTTACCACTCTGCACCTCTATAAATAATTCCATGAACATGATTAGATAAGTCCCCCTTTTCCAGGATGACCCTCCTGCACAGTCTCTGAAATTTCTCACTAGCCCATCCACAGACCCCTGCTTTGCTGGCTAAGTCTCTGACCAGCACACAAAGCCATGTTTCTCTGGCCATGAAACAAATTAGATTCCAGCAGAGACTTTATGGCTGTCAAACTGCCTGGAAGAGTTTAATGCCAAGCCAGCCAACACTGTCCCTCCCCTTCAGGGAACACATCAGCCTAGGAGATGAGTAAGTAGCAAACATTACAGGAATGGGCAGCATAAATGAGCAAAATGACTCTCCATGTTCTCAGTACTACAGGGTGAGAAAGATGAAGTAGCATGTGAGAATGTGCTACTATCACTTATGGGATATGAAAGCAATATCATCACTTTCGTCAACAATTTGAGAAACACAGAAATAAAATTCATTCCTCTTCTGGACAAAAAGAATATAAGCAAGTGATATTTTAAGTGTACAAGGTCAGCTTGACCTTTTTAATACATTACCATCTATCAAACAGCTTTCTTAAATCATGATTTCATGAAGTATTTTACTGAGGAACTGCATAAGCTTGAGCAAATTAGTTTACTTCTAAGTTGTTTTTTTTTTTAAAAAAAAAAAGCAAAAATAAACTTCCTGACCAATTCTTGTCATGTGTCAGAAAGCACATACTTTGAGTAAGTCTTAAAGAATGACAGCTAAATATTTACAATCATTAAAGAAATATTTGCCAGTACAGTGAAGAGCCCCAAGTTTAAATGTTTCCTATTTATTTCAAAAATAAACATCTAAATGCAAATTCAGTATTCATTACAACAGGTTTTTTTCTATGGATTTATGTAGCCTTACAATTTGCATTAGTGCACCAAGGGATCATGATCATCCTGTTATCTTTAGGCAGTTAATTACAACTGACCAAGAGTAATTTAATATTGAGGACATTAATAAAGCAGTTTAAAAGAATCTCTGTAACTGCTTTGTGTAAAAGAGGGTCATAAACAACCGTTAGTCTCCAAGAATGAATCTAGTTGAATCATTTACCCAAATGATTATTATTCTGTCCTAAACTGCATGTATAATGTAGACAATTACTTTATTATCTTTCTCTTTAATTAAATTACTTTTTTTTCTAACTTTCATTCTTGACCTACTGAGCAATGGGAGCAGCGCCATAATTCCCTAGACAGCCACATGCTAAAAATAAAAGAAGAATTCTTGCTTGAACTTTCAGTCTTTCCTTCATTAAGTTCAATGTTATTTTTTAAATTCTTCTCCTATCTTGTTCTTCCAGAGTACTGTAAATGTATAATTTTGTGCATGTAAAAATTGATGCCAGCAAACAATTGAGCTCTGCTCTTTACTTCCCTTACGAATGTACACTGCACTGGAAACGTGAGAATGGATGCCAGGGCTTACAAGATTCAATACAGGCTAGCAGAAAGTTCTTCTGTGTAGAAGACCAGAAAGGAATACACTAAATGCATTACAGAAAAATCATGTGCCAGCTTTCCATGGTTTCTCCATGGTTTGTTCTGCTTTATTAGTTTAAGACAGATACACTTAGATAGTATGCGGAGTAATCAAAAATTCAGTGTCAGTTTGTTATTTGGTGGTTTATAGAGAAAAAAATTCTAGAATAATTGCAGAATGAAAAGCTTCTTAAAGCCTAACACATCTAGCAAGGAAAAAAAAATCCAATCCAGAGCACCAAAACCATCAAATCATTCATTTTGTGCAAGGCACTATAAAACGTGGTTGGCTATGATAGCAGGGGGCTAAGTTCAATAACCCAGGAGAACCTGCCAGTCTTGTTCCTATTTGGGTAACTTCTTGACAGACACAGCAGGTAGGGAGTGCAAAAAAATCCCAACCAAACAGGCAACTCCCCCCCCACCTCCCTAAACCAGTAGGTTTCTGCACATTTCCTGCCAAGAGAAGGGAAACGGGGTCTCTTTGTATAAGCATGGATGCTGTTTGCATCTCTTTCACACTTCAAAAAAATCTCATACTGATCACGACCTGTACAGTGTATATACAGAAAGCAGAGGGGAAAAAAAAAGATTACTGTGAAAAGCACTGAACACACAGCAATAAAATACATACTTTACTAATGTTTGTTTCCATGAAAATTCTAACATGTACTGTAAACTGAATTTTTCTAGCTCTTCTTGGAGCAGCAGTGTTATTAAGCACCTAAACAGCCCTCCTTAATCTAATTGCATAAGTTAGCAATTCAATTTTATATTTGCTGTTCAATTGTTTACGTTAACCTTTAGACCTCTTCAGGGAAGGAACGTGTTTAACTAAGAGCAGCTCAGTACTATGAGAGCACCAGTATTATATTTTAATAGTAGAGATACAAAAAGTTTACAAGTATTCTCTGATTAAGGCTCAGCTTTTTAGCTTCAGCAATAACTCAGTCTTTATTTAAATTTAAATCTGAGATTTATTCACTTCTCATTTGTAAGATTTTACTCCACCAGCAGGTTCCACGATGTTCATTAGCAGAGAAATGAAAATGTCTTGGGACTCTCCAGATTAAGATACTCTACGACATACGACTTCCAATGTTTACTATCAGAGTATCAAGCTCCATCATTCAAGATATAGTTTAGTCTCACCAAAATTCCTCATGTAATAATATACCAAAAGTACCAGCACCATCAATTTTTAAGAGCTATTAAGTTCTCATTATGCTCATAATAGCTTATATGTAAGGTCATAAATACACAGTCATATCCTTAATCATACCCAAGCAACTACCAGTGTAGCAACTCAACTGCATGGGTATAAGGAGAGTTTGCACATAAAGCTACACATGTATTTCTCTCATACATATTTATATGCCATATATATACTATCAATAATGCCCCACCATACCTATTGTACCAAAGAACGTCTCAGATAATACACAGAAGTTACAAACCAAGTAGACTTGAACTGAAAACTAGAGAGAAAACACTGAAAGCATCAGCATATTTGTCAAGACATTCTTCAAGTCAGAACAATTATGATTTTCTAGACCATCTAGATGTTCAATATTTGAACAATTCGAATATTTGACAATTCAATATTTGAAGAAAAAGTAACATATGCAAAGAAATCCACATTGCACCTCAAATGAAAAAAAACCAATACAACACCTTCTCATCTACACATATTTTGTTCATGTGATCCTGTTCAAAAATAAATTTTAAAAGACTTTGTTGGGAATAACAGCTACTCATTAGAGCATTTAATATTGGTTAAGATAGAAAACAAACAAACAGGTATAATCTGTATCTTTAGAACAAATGAACAGCCACAATTCCAACAACTCTGAGGTGCACAAACAGCTCACAAGGAGGGGACACTCCCCATATTTCTGTATTCTAACCAATAATAAAATTCTTAGCCAGACAGAAGTTTAGGAGATGTGTTCAAGAAGAACAAAGCTGCTGCTTTTTCCACTCACTGCAAGGCAAGCCTTTACCATAAGCATTACATTGCATAAAAGTTCTTGGAAGTTTTCCTAGACAGAACCACTGCCAATGCTGAAGTTACTTCAATAGCTTGTGATCATCCACAAAATGGTTTTCTGAACCCGAACAATGGTTTTGCCCGTTTCTACAGTGAATTTAGAAACAATTCTCACTACTTCAAATAAAAACTCTGCAAGAAGTATGAGAAATAAGGCAGTGATGCAGAGTATGGCAATTTTTGATGTAACTCCTTTAGTCAAATAGACATTTCAAAACTTTTTCAGAAACATTAAATTCTTAAAAAGAAATCATACCTGATACTCTTCTGTTGTATCGGTTAACAACTGGAGCTGCAAAAGAAACAAATCAAAATTACAAATGCTATTATTACAAAGTCATCATCTTCAATAACCAAGATACATTTTTACTACACAAATCCCACAAAAATCTCTCAACAAAAAATTAAAAGCTTCGATATATTGAATATCTATAGGATGGAGGGTAAGGAGGGTTTTTTTGTTGGTTTGGTTTTTTAACCAATTATGAAAAAAATACCTCTACAGATGTTACTCACTCTGAACCCACCATCAATGCCCAGCCTGCTTTACGTGGCATTATTACAAAATATACAAGCACTTTAAGTTAGTTATACCTACTTAACACAGATCAAAAGCTGAGAGAACTTTTTAGCTAGACTGTTCTATACACCCACACAACCCAAGCCATGTAACCCTTCAAGGCAGCGCTCTCATACTAAATCCATTCATCTATCCCTGATCAAGACTATCTTCCATAAGGGCACACATTTCAAGTGAAAAATTCAGATATTGAGGATCCATTGTTTCATTGCTTCTTTGCTCATGCAGTTAGGTATCTAAACTTTATCAATAATTTGGGATTAAATTCTTGACTTTCACTATGCACATGCATTTTGACATTAACCCAACTTTTAGTAAACAGTGTTATGTCCCCCTTCCACTGTAACCATGTTACTGTCTTTGTGAGTTGCTTCAGTTTCAACACAAAAAAACACCAACCTGTAAACCTTCACTCAGAACAAAACCAAAATACCTGCTCCCCTTCACCACTAAGAATCAAAATTTTATTCTGGAAGCTCCATGCTTTCCCATTCCTCTTCCCCTCAACCAATAATTGCATTTTTCCTGATACAACCAGTGACCTTTCTATTCCACTCTTTAAACATTTAAAAATTAGATGAATTATACTTATACCACATCAAAGCATGTGCATCACAGAAACAAGGTTATTAAACACATGCTACCAAACTCTTAATGTTCCCATCACTTCTTAAAAGTCAGAAACTTTTGAGTCTCAGCATCACCAGCATGTGAATAACAATGCTTCTAGCAAATACAAAAAGAACTCCGCTTCTTTTAAGCATCTACAACCACCCTGTGTCTATATTAAAAAAACATAACTAAGAATAATATTGAAAAAACAAGGTCAAAATTATTGTGTATTCTGTTACAACGATAAAGGAAATCATAGGTTGAGAGAAAAAATAATCAGGTTAGCTCCATAGAGCTTTCAGCCAAATCTATCAACAAGGAGGCAATATCCAGCTTAAAAAGAAGCTGAGGATTAAAAACAAGATTGACTTGAATTTTACAGTTTAGATCAAGACCTAAACTTCTATAACACAGCATAATCCTTATAAAAATAACATTGACACAGTGTTTCCTACATCAAGCTTGAAGAGGTTCAAAAACACTGATAAACCCATGAATTCAAGAAATTTCATTTTCAAACCTTTAAGCAATTTTTGACAGCAGCAATCTTTCCTGAAAATAAGGGCAGCAAGCATTGCACTTCTGAAAGGACAACACAGATGCAAGAAGATGCACCACCTTAAGGAGAGACCAGCATTTGGAACAGAGATCTATTCTGATTTGTTAAGCAAATGCAGCTCCCTGAACTGAAGATTTCTATGCATTTTGCCCTATTCTGAACTTTTTCACATGGGCCTGCCTGTGACCACCAGTGGCAAGAGAATCCTGCTCTAGACATTGATCTGCCCTGCAGCAGTACGTTCATTCTTGTCCCCAGTTTACTGAGCTAGTTTAACTACTCAGTTAGTAAGCAAATGTTGGACTGTACCTAGAGCCACAGACAAATGCCTACCAGTCCTAAGATACTCAACAAGAAGAGGAGCAAAACAAATGAGTTCAGTTCCTGCTACAAAGTAATTTATTCCAAGATAAATAGTAAATTCAAACCATAGTTTGATAAATTTGCATTCAAAACACCTCATCTAGGTCATAACAGTTTCAATTAAGTGATTAACTAGTCTCATATTCAGATACTTTCAATCAACACCATTAGTAAGTAAATACATGATTTTATTTCAGGCACTGTCCTGCACATGCCATCTTTCTTCTCCACTTTTGCCTACTGCACTCATTTTTCATTCATGTTTAAGAATAACATTTTAACACATTTGAGTAAAACTAATATACTACAGAAAACTCTGACATACTTTGGGTACCACAAGAAAAAAAAAAAAATCCATTTTTCAAAGACTAAGGCTTCTTTTAGAAGAATTTATCCCATAGCAGGGTTCAGTGTCATCAAAACACTATCAACTTTTCCACAGTGTTAAAAACAAGAAAAACAAAAACATAACCTTTTAAGGACAGTTAAGAGAGCACTTTTATTCTTCCTCCACAAAGCTTTTAAGATCAAAATGATAGTTTGCTTTTCTTACACCAGTGACAGTTTTTAACATGTATAAAATTTCAGGTTTACTTTTATACGTTGTCAGAAGATGACTATTTTTATGCTAAGGAGAAAAAAATGACATTTCCTACTACAGAAGATTAGCACTTTTGTTCTGGCTCACCAATGAAAACCTCTCTTTGTTTATGATTATTTTCAACATGGCACAGGCAGTGCAGCCACTCCTATGGCATCCTTGTGTTTTGCTATTAGAAGTACACAGAGAAAGGCCTGACATCAAGGACTGCTGAGAGAACAACTAATGAAGGTCCCACACACACCTAGATTAATCTGTGGACACATTCCAAAAAACATTAGATGGAGCGGAAGGGAAAAATACATGTACTGTTAACCCAGCCTATTTCCAAGACCAAGCACAAAAGGGCATTTAATGCACTAATTGTAACCTCACACGCCAGAAGAGCCATTAGAGCACACCTCTGCCTGCACAAGACACACCGACATCCTCACCAGAGCTGATATCTTCAGTAATTAAAAAAAACCAAAATTGCTGCTTTGAAACAGAAAACAATTCAATTATTTTGCACTTACATGGTCAGTTATACTTTAATTTCAGAAATTATAATGAGAATCAAAGCTTGCTGCAGGACAATTGCATTGCTAACTCTCCATTATGTCAAAATCTCCAGGAACGTCCAGGCTCAAAACGTCTCGTACCTTTGGCACGGTCCCCACTTTCACTTGGCTCACGGGAGCCAAGCCCCAGTAACTGGGTAAACACAAGAAAAACTGAGGTCTATTAAACCATTGTACCAGAAGAGACCAAAACGGCCCAATTTCCTCCCTGGCAGCCAGAGGCAAGCGACAGCAGCAGAGGGAAGGACTCGGCACAGCGACCCTCCTCCACTGGGCCCCAAAAATCAGAGACGGCTGCTGAACACGTGCAGGTTTTCCATCCTGTCCTCAGGCACAGGCCGAACTAAGCACTAGGCAGGAACATTTAATAGGGGCTGTTTCAGACTGGAAAAAAATTACAGATTTCTGGCTCTGGGGTTCTTTTTTATTTACAATTTTAATTTCAAGAACCAGTCAGTTTTCTAGTTTAAATCAAATATTTAATAAGTAGTTATCAACTTTGTGTCAGTAGTGCTTAATCCCACTCATTCCCATTCTCCTTCTTCTGCACTGGGGATAAAAAAAAAAACAAAAAAAAAACAAAACACCAAAACCCACGGAATAATGGGCATTCATTCATATTTATGAATACCACATATGTAGCATAACCAAAGAAGAAACAATGCTGCAAGGGTACTCAGCTTCCCAATTTCAAAACGATTTTATACTGCCTTCAAAGTGAACTCTGCAAAACTGAGTCACATACCTATCTGCTAAGACTGCACAACCTCTCTCCCTCAAAGTTATGTCATACCATTTATTTAATGAAAACTATTTGAATCATTTACACAAATCAATACTGTACATTCTGTTAGTTAAGTTTTAAAATATGTACCTTATATCAAACAGCACCACTATCATGCAGCTATGCTACTTGTTTGTGGCTCCACCCCATCTGGTTTTCTCTTGAAAAATTAGGGATATAAATTTCAGAAACAAAGGCTGGTATATGATGTTGGGAACCACCAAACTCAAAAACAGATTTTTTTTTAAAAATTATTTTTAAAATACTTTCCAAAAAAGAAAAAACAGTAATTTCTCCAATATTCTTCAGTTTGCCTTGGTATTGAGATTTTCTTTGAAATACCTGATGCTGGATTTTTGGCTTGCCATGCTTAACTGACAAGTGAGGTCTAACTAATGGCTACAGGCCAGTGTTAAAATTCAGCCCCACAGGTAATAAAGTATATAAACAGGATGCAGGTAGTACCTTTTTTACCCCTGCTTTAAAAAACAAACCAACAATTGAAGTATTTAAGCCAAAAAAGTGACAGTAAAATCCTTCTCCAACTTTTCAAATCAGCTCTAAAAGAGCACTTTTCCTACCATGCGTGGGATCCCTTCTTTGTCAGTGTACTGCAAAGTGACTGGTAATAAACACCAGCAAGCTTTTTAGAAGTTATACTACTACCATAATAGTCTAAGTTATTTATCATATTCATAAGCATTGTACAGTTACAAAAGACACTTAAGCTTTGAAATGAACAGAAAAGTTACAACAGTCATTCTCCCAGTTCTTGCTATCCTTGTCTTACACATACTAAGAACACTGAATTCTTACAGAAAAGATAAATAAAACTTGAAAGATCGGTTCAGGGTCACAGGAAACAAACTCAGGGACAAGTGAAGAACTGGCATTCCAGGCACAAGCTTAGGGTACTAAATGTTACTACTCTGTACTGGATACCTTGAAAACCTTTTTTTCCTCTTCCTTCATAAGCATTTTGGTTTGTACTAGGACCTGTGAACACTTCCTAATTACAATTACAGATAAAAATTCTCCACATACTGACTGTTTCTCATAACATCATGATTTATAGCAATAAAGTTACACTACTATGCACACAAAATTTCAACACAGTTCTCTCATGTAACACTCCAATTTTTTTAAATTCTCCTGATGAAAGATGGATCAAAGTTTGTAACAGGCTGCATAAATTCAGGAGTATAACACTCAGTGTTCATAGGACATAGGCACAAGATACCAGCTTTATTAAAACAAATTAGCAGAAATCAGTGATTTCCAGAGTAACTTTCCCATCAAATCATGGCACAGAATCATCCTATGGGAACACAGATAACAAGAGAAGCAGCCTGTAAACTGCTCTTGTTTAACAAGTCAATTAAGATTATCCAAACAATACGTGAGTTGACACTATAAACTATTAAAGCTGAAATACCAGGAGCGGAGTGGAGTATAAATCTGAGGCGTGACTGTCTCTATGGAATGTTATATCAGGTTACGATAAGGAAGTGCCAGACTACAGCTGTCAAACTGTTTTTCTACACACCAAGATGCTAATGGACTTACAATAATATGAACCATCACAACTATGAGAAAGTTTAAAGACTCAAGTATACTTTTTAAGATTCTTTGTACTTAAGAAGTAATGCTATGGCAAAAACAAGACTTGAATCATCAGATATGATAATACATTAATAAATGCAAACCTGGACTTATTTTTCAATGAGTAAAATAAAGGGGTTCTCTGTAACTATTACTACTATACTAGTTACATATCCATGATTTCCTTCAGGATGCCTCTTCTGGACAGTGGCACATTCCACCTATCCCTTCCAGATCTCTGCTTGATCAGGTGGGAAGCGTGAGTTGGGCTATAAACTACTAAAATTTTTTCAGCAGCAGTTCTGGAACCCAATGGTCCACATGTTTCTTTCAGAAAAGCAAAACAAACAGAAACGGACAAGAGTTTTATAGGTGCCAATTTTTTTTTTTTTCCTTCTATTCTCCCCACCCCCCCTTCACAGGATGGAAACTCAGAATCTGGTTAGAGACAGGCAGGAGAGATTCTGATGGTGTCAGCTGAGGCATGCCAGATATTGGGAGGATGACAAAGGTCAGGGAACACTAGGGGGAAAGCAAGTTCTTTCTGAGGATGAACAGAGGGAGCATGAAATGTTAAAAAAAAGGCATAAAAATGGAAATCATGGTCCATGATTATCTGTGTACACAGACTTTACTCTCCTCTAAGAAACTTCTACATCTATTAAGACGGAAAACAATAACAAAAATTATGTTAATATTAAATGCTGTTTTCCTCTCTGCTACAGGAAAGATAATAGAGGCATAGACACCTTTCAATTCCAAATACTTAAAAAATATGCTTGCAGCAGCAGAAGATAAAATACAAAAACAAAGTACCAACACATAATGGTCTCAAATTTAACTGATTTTTATTTGTATTTAAAAATTACTGACACAAAATGGAAAACACACTGTCAGGAGCCCCTGATTCTTGTTTTTGGAGTTTTTTTAGAACTCCTCAGATCGAGAGATTGTGATAAATACTTCTGAGGGAAAAGGTTGAGTCAACAAGAAAAGCATCTATGCAAGTTAAAAAAAGATGGTTTATGAAGTTATTAAAGCTGTTGTTCTATTTTAGGTTGGCTTTTTTTGAGACAGGAAAAAAAAATATGCACTCTGGAATGGACAGTCTTTAAACAGCTCATAAATTCAAGAAAGATAAATCTTTACTTGACTCTCTGAAAGAAATTAGGGTGAATCTCTGGTTATAGCAGCACTTCTTCACTAAGATGTTGCTTGGTTTTAAATTAAAGACACTTTAGAAAAACATATCACTATTTCACTATTCTCATGCCATGACTGAATTTGAACAGTCGTGCATGGTGCTATTTTGATTATTTTTCTCAGATATGAATTCAACACAAAAAAAAAAGACCGTGACCCTGTTATGCAATGAACCCAGAACTCAGGAGGCAACACAGCCTGAGCGAAGCCTAAGCACGGGAGAATGAATACCTATCAAGCAGCACTCCGTATTATCTGACATTGCAGTGGCATGACCCACAGCCCTCTCCTGTTTCTTGCTGACATGTCTCAGAGTTCTAGCCAAAGAGCTTTTTTCCCCCCGCCCCGTGTGTTGGGTTTTTTTTGTGAGAGTAATCTATATTATGAAGATCAAAGAGATAGCAATGCACTTGCTTTACAGACACGAAATTAGACAAATTCCCAGTGCTGAGGTACAATCTCAGCTGAAAGGACACATTTCATAGCAATTAAAGATATAGGCATACGCAGATACTACAACAGAGACTGTCAAGGACTGAAATGAAAGACTTGGGAATTTTTTTTTCAAGGATTAGAAAGACAAAATTATACACTGCACAGAATGGGCAGGATGCTGCAAAGAACTAGGAGAGTTAAGAAGCAACTGACAAATCTTCAAAGTACTGTCAGAATGGGAAAGACACTGGAGGGTACAGCAAAGCAAGGCACACTAAGTGAAAAAGGGAAATTTGGTCAGGCTTTCGGAGCAAGCTTAAAGAGGAATGCACTTCAGAGAGAGCGAAGCAAAGGAGCCACACTAGTAATACCACAGAAGCTTTAAGAGCCAGAATGACATTAGGCTTACAAACCCAATATTAAGCAGATAATAAAAAGTAAGGATCCTGAAAATATTTGGAAGTGACCTTCATAGGAAATCTCTGGCAATGAAGAAGCCAGAAAGGGACAAAGATGAGTATGAGACTGCACTGTTAAAGAAACATATCAAGGAGAAATAATTGCAAGTTTCCTTAAAATAAAGATTTTATACAGGAAAAGATAGTTACATCTTATCTAGGGAACCACAAGACATTTCCCAATCGGCAAGAAACATGAGCAGCTCACTCTCATGCCTAGGTGCAGTGGCAAAGAAAGGACAGCCTCTTCCTTTTCCTAGTCTCTTGACTCTTCCCTCTCTCTAACCCATCCTGCTTTCAAACTTCACCTCTCTATTTACCAGAACATACTTTTGCACCCACCAGAAATCATAGTTATGTTAGGAAGGAAGGTTAATACTTCATGGTATTTTAGATTTTTTTAATTGAGATGTATAGAAGACAAAGTTTGTCCAAAATCTTTTAGGCAGAAACTTCCGAAGCACTGTTTAAGGCAATGTTTGACAAGTGTAGCTCATTTAAAGCAATACTTTGTATGTCAACTGATTTTTTACTATGGTGTTGCTTTCCAAGAAGACTTAGAATACAAATTCACATCTTTGTATCTTTTAAAACATCAAACCCTAAAGACTTTTGACCAGATATTTATCCTTTGATTGGTTATAAAGTGCA